TAAGAACTAGTTCCTCTTCCATAGGAACTGGAGCCTGGGAGGCTCAAGATACTTCAGAAGGCAGAGGCACATCAGGGCCAGAACAAAAAACCCTTGAACCTTTCTGTACCCCAATGGTGACTGCAGCTCAATTATCCCCCTTGGGAGAACTTCATGCCCAAAAAGCCTTATCAGCCCACAGTTGAGAAGTACACAAAATTCAGGCCCTGGCATAGCCTCCAGGTGCTTTGCATACTCTGCTGGCCTCATCCTGTCCCACTCTTCCCAAGAGGTTATAGGCCCATGTATATGGCTCCAGAGACACCTAGCCAAGTGCTTCACAGTCCTGTTTGCTGCCTGTGGGCTGCACCAGAAAACTCCCCCAAAACTTACCAGGCCACACACAGTTCCAGTGAAAAAATCTGGTCCCCAAACTAAAACAAAGACTGGAATTTCTCAAATGCACAGAGGTCATGTTTTGTGGTACACACCTATAAAACCATCATTATGGGAGGCAGAAGTAGGAGGATCACAAGTTCAAGGTCAGCCTCAGAAAGTTGGTGAGGCCCTCAACAACTTAGCAAGACCCTATCTCAAAATAAAAAGTAAGAGAAAAGGGCGGTGGATGTACCCCATTACAAAAAAAAAAAAATAGAGTATCTGTAAGAGTTTAAGGTGGGGCTGGGGATGTGACTCAAGCGGTAGCGTGCTCGCCTGGCATGCATGGGGCCCAGGTTCAATCCTCAGCACCACATACAAACAAAGATGTTGTCTGCGGAAAACTAAAAAAATATTAAAATTCTCTCTCTCTCTCTCTCTCTCTTCCTTCCTCTCTCTCTCTCTCTCTCTCTCAAAAAAAAAAAAAAAAAAAAAAAAAAGAAAAAAAGAAAGCAAAACCAATTGGAAGCAAACGAATTGGAAGTATGGAAGTACATCCAGGTTTCCCATTATTTGGAGCACCCAGGAAAAGCTTGTGTAACTGCAAGGTTCCCATTGAAGCAGACTTTAATGCAAAAATATGCCCAGAGACAACAAAGGTAATTGTATAAAGATAAAATATCCATTGCACCAGGAAGGTTCGAAATTATGAATTTGCACTCAGTTAACGGTCTTTTGAATGAATTGAGAGCAAAATAGAAACTTAAAAACCTCATTCTGTGACTTTAACATATATTCCTCCATGATTTATACAAAAAGGAGACCAACAAACAACAAAATAAGCAAAAATCCACAAGATTTTAACATGATTAAAAACTTGATCTATTGGACATATATAGAAAAATGTAATCAATAATTATAGAATGCACAGTTATGTTTTAGCACAAATGGTACATTTACTAAATTTGACCACAAATGCCATGTAAGACAAACATTTAATTTCAAACTGTTGAAATTATGTAAAGAATATGACCACAACGTAACTGGGCTACAAATGAACCACCAAAACATAATAAGAGGTCTCCCATTTTAAGAAGTGCATTTCTAATTGGGCACGGTGCTACACACTGGTAATTCCAGATGCTTGGCAGGTGGATGCATGAGGGTCCAAGGTTACAGACCAGCCTGGGCAACTTAGTGAGACCAACTCAAAATAAAGAAATAAAAGGGTTTGGGACATAGCTCAGTGATAAAGCATCCTTGGGTCCAATCCTCAATACCAGGAGAGAAAAAAAAAAAAAAGAAAGAAAAAGAAAGAAAAGGAAAAAATGCACTTCTGCTGAATTTCTACATAGCACATGTATTATGTAAAACTCTAAATGGACTTTGCTTAAATTCATTTATATGTATGGATTCTGGAAGTACTGAGGACAAAACAAAGGGGATCTCCACCCTCAAAGGGAACAGGGTGCAGTAAGAACTGATTTAATTAATAATTAACGTGGTGGATTGGTGGTGAAGTCAGTGGTAGAGAACTTTCCAAGCATGAGAAGTCATGGGTTGATCCCCAGTAAGAGAGAAACCAAACAAACAAAAAACAACCAGTGATTAATGTGGAAGTGTTCACTCCAAGTTGATTTGAAAGGATAAAAGAAATTGAAATTGAAATGTAAAGGACCAGGTTTTGTAAATTTTCTAAGCTGCACTCAGAATCTGAAATTCCTGTGGCAGTTAAGACAATTCCCGGAACTGCCCATTAGATGTGTGACGAAATCTTCCATGTCCACCTAGTTGCTTAACAACCCCCCTCCTAGAGACCGTGCAGCTCAGCACGTATACACCTCAGGGCTTCAACCAATCAGATTAAATGTATACCCCTTCTTGGGACTGACCAATCACCCTCACCCGACGTGTTCCCTCCAGTGAATGTGCCAATCATGTTTTAGAGTTGTTATTTGATTTTCCTGCGGTATGTGATGATTTGCTAAGGGATGCTATGATGTATGTAAAAGTCCCTGCCCTCTCCAAAGAATGTATGTAAACTCTGCTTAAGTTGTTCTCGGGGCTCTTGGTTCTTTGCTCTTTTGGAGTGAGCTCTGAGCCCCAGCATGCTGGACCCCCAATAAACCCTTTACTGTTGCATGAGACGGTCTCTTGGTGGTCTTTTCCTCCGACGTTCGCCCAACCTTTTTCAGATTAATGTGTGCTGCCCACCTGATGCTCATTTTACTGGTACGTCAGACAAATTTCTGAGTATACAAATGTTTTGAATTATCATATACATCCCAATATAGTTGACATGTTCCCCAAATCACTATTTACTTGCACTATATTACTTTGCCCATTTTATAGATGCAGAAACTGAACTCAAAGTAAATTAGTTGGTATGTGAAATGGAGGGAAACACACAAAAGCAGGGTCAATACAACGCTGTTTGTCTTGAAAGTCCACTTTGCTCAGAGAATTGCACCACGATAGAGTCAGGCCTCCTATGGTGGCCCAAGCCTGTAATTCCATCACCTCAAGAAATTGAGGCTGGAGAATCACAGGTTTGAGGGCAGCACAGGCAATTTAGTGACACTCTTGTCTCAAAATAAAAAATAAAAAGGGATAAGGATATAGCTTGGTGGTAGAGCACACCTGGAGTCAATCTCTAGTACTGAAAAATAAAAGAAAAAGAAAAGTCAGGATTTCTGGTGCAGCCAACATTTCATCCTCTTTGACTCATTCTAGAAGTTCCATACTGAGGGCAGTTGACAGAATCACAAAAGGAAAATATTCCTTAAATGAGTTTTCTCAAGGCGCCCTTCACATCCTTGTTGCTCAGGCTGTAGATGAAGGGGTTCAGCATAGGAGTGACCACAGTGCACATCACTGAAGCCACTGCAGTCTTCCTGGGAGAATCATTCAAGCAGCATATCATGGTGGGTGCAGTGTTAACTTTGGGTGGTTTGTATCCAGAAGTCTCCTGTGCAAAATTTGAGGACATTACTTACCCTCTCCATGTCTCTGCTTCCCCATTTATAGCACAGGAGCTAAAAATCCTTTAATTAAAATTAAAACTATATTCAAATAAAGGAACATAAAATAAATCACTGTGTATAGACAAGGACTCCAAAGAAGCTGAGTTAGACACTAGAATGGATCTTACCAATGAAGGGGTCTGGGAGACACAGATGTGAGCTGTGGGTGTCTGCAGAGTCAGGAGTGAAGGCCGAGAATAAAGGGCTTTTCTATTTGTTCTGGTAGTGCAAAGGGATGGCCTTAGAAACGAGGGAGAATGGGAAATAAACTAACTGCTAGTAAGAACTACACCCAGGCTTCTTCCCCTCATCTGGAGAACTCAGAAAAGCCTTGTGTAAGTGCACTGTGTTCCTGTCAAAGAGAGCAGACCTCAATGCAAACCAAGCTCAGAGATAACTAAAGTGATTTCCTAAACATGAGAAATCTGATGCACTAGGAAGAGGTGAAATTTTGAATCTGCAGTCACCTAAGAGTCATCTGATGGAATTACAAACATAACTAGACAAAACAATGTCACACTGAGTGAATTTACCACCCATCCCATCATGACTGTACAACAAGGAGACCAGCAGAATCAGAAAATTTTACCCAGATTTGAACATGATTACCAAGTTGGACTGATTGGACATGCAGAGAACGATGCTTTCAATAACTGTAGAATACAC